TTGAGAGAATTCTGCCTCTGTCTTTCCTGATATTCCCAGCATGTTTGTGGCTGAGGGGACTTGGGCGTTTTAGGCCCAGGAAAGGCTGGTAGTAACTTCTTGTTAACTTCTGGTTTTAAATGTCTAGGGGACATTGGGGACCACATGGGGCCCACAGGCTTCACATTGTCCACCCCACTCTAGAATATAGCAGGGTTGAAAACAGACCCACCTGACTTTTCCAATGAAGTTGTCTCCATCCCGTGACAGATCAATGGGGTCTAAGGAAATGAGGTAGTTTGAGGTCTTGCTTTTTTTCCTCTTCCGTCCAGACATAAGGAAACGCTGAAGGAGAAGACATACCATAGCACTTAATAAGACCAGTTTGTGATTGCCTCTTTCCTCAACTACATTCTTTAAACTTCTTGTTGTGTGCCTCCAAGTCATTTCTGACTTACAGCAACAAGGTTTTCTTGGCAGAACTTGTTCAGAATTTGTTAGTCTTCCTCTGAGACTAAGAGAGTGTGACTTGCTCAAGATCACCCAATAGGTTTCTATGGCTGAGCAAGAATTGGAATCCTGGTCTCCAGAGTTGTAGTCCAACACTCACACCACACCACCATGCTGGCTCTCCTTCAAAGTCCCATAGGCCCCAGTCAACAAGACCAGTAGTCAAGGATTATGGGATATCTAGTAGTCTTTAAAGGTGTTACATAGCATTTTAAGACCAAACAAAAGAAGAATATCCCAATAGGCCTAATTATTTTTCATTTATTCATAATTTCATTCAATTTAAGAGAGATTTATGTTCCATGCTTTAAAATGCAACCAAATTTTCAAAGTATCCATAATAAGATTACATCCCATGAAACACATGTGACATGTACAGATCTACGTGTTTACTCAGAAGGAAGTCTCTCAGTACTGGATAAGGCTTACCCCCTATATAATGTATGTTCAGAGCTCCTACACTATAATAAGCAGTAGTGTACAGCAGAATACAAGCTTAAATAAATAGCAT